TAAACCATCACTTTACCGCATAAAACGAAATATATTTCCGACATTCTCCAGCATTATAAAGGTAACAGAAAACAAAAGTACGGATTAATTCCTGCCCAACTGCTCAGACAAAACCTTCTTACAAAAATAATAGGGAAATATGACGTTAGCGACAGTGCACCAACGTATGCAAATGCTTGAATAAGGCAAATTTTATTGGCATTGTGCGACTTTTTTATTTCATTGATTGACCTACTTTTACCTCATAATATATCACAGGAAAAGTAATTTTACACTTCATAATATTCTAAACCGTCGCAGTAATGCTAGCTTGCTTCAGACGATGGCCATCAATTTTGTGAGGGACAACTGGGAGTCCTTCAGAGAATATGACGTTTCGAACAGCGGCAAAGCCCATTACAGTAAGTTTTGCATGAGAATCACTTTGTGCTGAAAATTTTCAAGTATGATGAATTTGCTGACATATAATTAGATATAAAAATGTTCATTAATGCAGTTAATTTAGTCAATGCACTCCAAACGGGCCCACGCTGCCACCTGCACCTCGAAGCACTGTGCTGTGTGGAGTCGGGACGTGTTATATTGCACAATGCTAAGCGCCGCATCCGATCAGTTTTTGGACCAAGCACAGCTTCCGTGTTTGGTCCGGACGGCACACTATTGGAAATGATTTATGCCTGTCACTGCTACGCCGCTTTGGCGAATGGGCATTGCAGGCCAGTAAGTTAACTTTTGCTATTTCATATCCCAAGTTTTTATATAATGCAATTAATGTTTCGAGAACTATATCCAATATTGGCACTATTTTTTGTCAATTTTTGTTTTAATATTATTCTGATACCAAATTGTCAATTTAAGTGCCTCGGTCACTCAGAAAGTGGAACAGATCAAGAATGTTCCACTGGTGGCACGAACGTGGCGGAATCGATTGTGGATGATGCCAGTAAGTAAAAATTATTTTTGTAATTGTTTTTGACGGTAAAGCAAAGTTTTCATGGATATTAATGCTTTCACTTAAAATTACTTTTCTTTTTCTTTTTTTAATATAAATGCTAATTATCTAACTATCAATTCGCGCTTCTTTTAGCGTTCAGCTTAGTGGCTACAACTCCGGTAACAGATGAAGATGATAGCTTTCGGGTATGTTAATTGTGATTTAAATACTATTAATGTTAACACATAACATTCATAACCTTTTTAAATTTCTAGTTCAGCATTTATATCGTATCAAATTACAAAAAAAATGATAAAATGAATATCTAATTCCAGGATGTAGCTAAATCAAGTGAAATTCATGAAAGACTCACCATTCCAGCACGTCTGACACAGAATTCAATCAGGGTGAAGGTGATTAATTTTATAGAATCTTATTTTTACAGAACATTTCTTGGTTTATGCAGATTTTTAAACTAATCAAAAAATTGCTTGAACTACAAATTTTTACCTGAAATGATATATTAACTTCAGCGGATTTATTTTGTGTCACTTCAGTTAGAAGACTCGCAACGCAACTTTCACAATGGTGTAATAATTCATAAATAGAAAATTATTCGAATCTGTGCGCTATTTCTGACAATTTAAAGTTATGCTGATGCATGTTTTAATAATTTTTTAGACCAATTTATCATTATTACAGGCTGGTACTCAAATATGCCTTTCAAAAATTGTGACCTCTGATGCTGCGCGCTCAAAAATTAAAGTTTCCAGTTCGACGGTTACAGCTTCCTGTATGGTACGAGCTGGCATTAGCAACCAGACATGCATTTCATCTCTGAAAATTGTGACGTCTGATGCTGCGCGCTCGGCAACTAAAGTTTCCAGTCTGATGATCACAGCTTCCTGTATGGTGCGACATTTTTATTATTTCAAATTTTTACATTCTTTATCCATCTGTCATTGATTCTTTGTCAACTGGAAGAAAGATAGGACATAATATCATTTGCAGAAACCATCAGCACAACGGCGCCGCAACCGACCATCCAAAGTTGAGATGATCCCAGCTTATCGCGCCAAACTGTAGGTTTTTCTGCTTTATAACTCTATGACCGCTTGTCAGAAATCAACATTATTTATGCATATTATGTATGAATGTTATAGGAGAAGTTATGGGTCGAACATAGACCCACTTCGATCCAGGAGTTCAAGAGTCAAAAAGTGCCTTATTGAGGCACCAAGACTCACGGACTATCCTGAATCAGAAAAAGATCTGCGTGTATCTGAGGCCCACTAATACATTGTGCTCAATGGGAGAGTCTGTAAGTTATTTCATCGCACACTGAACAATTGCATTATAACATTTAATTTGATATCTCGATAAGTACTTTTTCTATCATATCTAGCTGTATTTCAGAATTCAGCCTCCCACGGGGTCCGTTGTTACAAATTCTGACACATTTGCGACAGTGACGAGCTAGAAGCAACATTATGAATGCGTGATCTCCAACTTGGTTGGAGCCACTTCCACTTATCCTGACTATGTTCATTTTTCAAGTGCTCCAACCAGAATTCAAATAAAGCTCTCATTGACATGTGTTACCATTAATATGATATGCAAATTTGACTTAATGTATTCAGTGGTTTGAAAGCAGAATTCACCAGTACTTGCTTTCTTCCCGCTTTCGTGCTGTTTCGTAGATGTCACTCTTTTTACCCTTCCGCATTTCCTCCTTGTTGTCTGCCTACGCTTGTTTCATTACACCATTTTAAGAGATAATTTCAGTCAAGACATCAATCACTCATTCTTACAATACGTTTGGCCTTGTAAGACATAGACGTGATATTTCTCAATCTCAATTATATATTTTTTGACTGTAGTTCTATGAACCTAATAAAATGTGTGCGTTATGCGCTCAGCGTGCGTGATGTACAGAAAACAAAATTGTATTTTATTAATAACAAAACTCGGAAGAGCAGTATTGAATTAGTCAAACATTAATAATACACGTAGATTATTTACAATAAATAAGCAGTGAATAAATCAAATAATTAATAATGAAACAAACAAAATACGTACTATCTTGTCAGTATATTGGTTTATATAATAATGCAAAAGATGAGATGGGATTTGCTAAATGTAGGTAAAGTCTAAAGTTTTTAACATGGTCGTCAGTTTTAGTTTTTTCTAAGCTTTTAAGAGATCGATTTCAATCATTTGTTAGTTTTAACTAATTAAGAATCTACCATTACTTTGGTCAGTGCAGAATCGAAATGAACTTGAAAGGTCGATTAGG